CCCCCGCAGCAGCCCCCGCAGCAGCAGCAGCAGCCCCAGCAGCAGCAGCAGCAGCAGCAGCAGCCCCCGCAGCAGCAGCAGCAGCAGCAGCAGCAGGAGGAGACGTGGGGTCGCGTGCGTTGGAGATCCTGCGTCGGGGCTACGGGGAGACTCGGAGCTTCGGGAGTTCAACAGCTTTGGTGGTGCTGCACGAGGGGCAGCAGCAAATAGGAATAGCGAATGTTGGAGACAGCGCTTTGATTTTGCTGCGGCGGCAGCTGGTCTACAGAATGACTTGTGTCTTCAGAACAGCAGAGCAGCAGCACGAGTTCAACTGTCCCTTCCAGCTGAGCCGGCTGCCGCAGCCGGGGGACTACGAGCTGCTGCGCTGCAGCGGGAAGCAGGCGCTGCTGCAGCTGCTGCAGCGCGCTGCTGCTGCTGCGCTGCCGCAGGACACCCCCGAAGCTGCTGCTGTCGCCACTGTTGCTGTGCAAGAAGGAGACTTGCTGCTGCTCGGCACTGACGGGCTCTTCGACAACTTATTCGACCACGAAATCTGCGCAATTGCTTCTTTCTTTCTGAGTCCCAAAGAAGCAGCAATTCTGGGGGACCCTTCCCTCGCCACTTCCGCCACAGACGCAGCCAGGGCCATCGGAGAGGCTGCTGCCCACAGGAGGTCTGCTGCTGCTGCTGCTGCTGCTGCTGCTGCTGCGGGGGGGCAGGGGAGGGGAGGGGAGGGGAGGGGGAGGCTCAGACCGCGCTTTCCTGCTGCTGCTGCTGCTGCTGCTGCTGCTGCTGCTGCTGCTGCTGCTGCTGCTGGTGCTGGTGGTCTTTTGAAGCAGTTGGTGATTTGCTGCTGCGCTGCTGCAGCCGCTCCTCCACCGAACGAACGCCCTTCATGAAACACGCCCGCCAAGAGGGGGCTTTCTTCACGGGGGGCAAAATGGACGACATCACCGTGGTGGCTTGTTGGGTCACTTCGCCAGACAGTCTTCTTTCCAATTCCGAAGACATTTCCGGCTTCCAGGGAGCTGCTGCAGTCAGCCGCGACTGCTGAGCAGCAGCAGCTGCTGCTGCGCCCCGAAAGCCCCAAAAATAGCTCCGTCGGGGGCCCCCAGGGGCCCCCAGGCGCCCCTGGGGGCCCCTGGAAGCCCCTGGGGGCCCCTGGGGCCCCCAGCGGCCGCCAGCTGTAGGTACAGCTGCGTTTGCATGCACTCCGTGCACGAAAAGTCGTGCAAAAAGATCCAGATGCCAGAGACCTTCGGGAGCCCCTTCTGGGGCCTCGGCAAGAGGGATTCTTGCGGGAAAAGGAGGGGAAAGCAGCTCGTTAACTGCTTTCCTGCGACTCGAGATCAGAGGGAATTCAAAATGCATTGAATAAATAAATGTCAACGAGCTGAAAGTCTTCGCCGAATAAAGCGGGGCTCGCGCGGTTCACGGCCCCGCCCGCCTCGAACATGAACGTGCAAAGTATGCACTTCTGCAAAAGCGAGTTCTCTGTGTTCAGAAGCAGAAACTCCGTCAAATGGCGCCTCGCTGGCGCTGAAAAGATGCATTTAGGGTTGCTTTATCGTTTTCCCCGGCGATCGCGCCTTAAATGGCTTTGTTTCGGCTTTTTTCCACAGCTTTCCACTTCCCAGCAGCAGGTAGACCCGCGCACCTCTGGGGTGTACGTACACCCCAGACCTGTCGCACGCCGCCGCCGCACAGACCGCTCCGTTTTTTCTCGCTTTTGTTTTTATTGAACAATGCACACGTTTTCGTTGCTTTCCGTTTGCCCATTTCTAGTTTTCCGAAAGTGCAATGGGGCGGAAGAAGCCGGAGAGCCGGCCGACGCCGACTTTCCGGCTGCTTCCTTTTCCCCCTCCGCCGCCGCCGGCGAGCTGATCCAGCAGGCGCTGGAGGATTACGACGCGAAACTGGTTAATTTTACGCGATTTTTCGGTAATTTGAACTTTAGAAAAGGGCGAAAGCGCCGCTAGTGCAGCAGAACCCGAGAGAAGCCGCCGCTCTTTGCTTCCTTTGCAGAACAGTCCGACGCCGGCCGGCTCCTCGCAGACGTCGTTTACGACCTTTCCATTTACCCCGCAGTTGCCGGAATTCCAAACGGAACTTCTGGAGAGGTTTCTGGCCAAGTGCGGCGCGGTAAACGAAAATTTCAAATTCAAGTTTTTCTGAAAAAGTGGCGTTTTCGCGCCAAGTTCGTTTTTCAAATTCAACTTCGAAAGAAATTGCGTTTTTTCGCGCTTTCTGCTGCTTCTTCTCCAGCCTGATGAGGGGCTTTTGTTTCATCTTTTTATTCCACTTTTGTTCATTTCAAAATCCAATTTTATTCAAATTCCGAAAACTCCATTTGCATGCGCTGCTTCAGTTGTGATGCCTCTGGAGGGCTTTTCAACGGCGTCTCCTCAGGCAAGTTTTTGGACTCTAAGTTGCAGTTGAAATGTTTCTTTCAATCGGAATAATTCAATTAATTAATTAATTAATTGATTAATTAATTAATTCAATTATTTAATTAATTAATTAAATCAATTAATTGAATTAATTGAATTGTTTTCGCAGCAAGGCTCCACTTTCTTGACTGCTTTCGTTTCTCTGCTGTGTCTGTCATCGGCGGTGCCCTTTGCCTACTTTGGGGTGTATGGTCAGCTCGAAGAGTTTTGAATTTCTTTTTGATTTGAATTTGAATTTCTTTTTGATTTAAATTCATTTTAATTCTTTTAGGTCAGCTCGAGGAGTTTTGAACTTCTTTTTTAATTTAAGTTCATTTTAACTCCTTTAGGAGGCCTCAGAGACAATTCCAGCACTGCAGCAGCAACTCTGGCAGGTAAAGGGGACTAAAATGGTCCAAAAAGCTTTAAATGGATTTATTTATTTCAAAAAGATTTAAATTCAATTTTCATTTATTTCAACTTCAGCTTATTTCTCCTGCGCCATTTCTCTCTCCGCCCTTTACGGCCTCGCCCCCGAGTTGCTGCTGGCGCTGCTGGGCCTCGCAGCAGCGGGCGAGTTATTAATTTAAATATTAATTTAAATTATTTATTTTAATTATTTATTTTAATTAATTAATTAATTAATTAGTGTTTAATTCGTTTATTTCATTTAAATAAACCCCTGAATGGCTGCTGGGCCTCGCAGCAGCAGGCAAGTTGTTAATTTGAATTGTTCATCTTTAGTTTATTTAATTAATTAAACATTTAATTTATTTATTTATTTAAATGGCTGCTGGGCCCCGCAGCAGCAGGCGAGTCATTAACTTCGATTATTTATTTCAATTGATTTAAATAAACAAATAATTAATTAATTAATTAATTAATTAATTAATTAATTAATTAATTAGTTAATTTCATTTAATAAATCTTTCCCTAATCAAAACACCCGCAGGAGCCGCCGCGTACTTCACCCTCAACTCCTCTTTCAAGCAGCAAGCCTTTTCCTCTTCTTTTATTTCTTGTCTGGTAAATAAATAAATAAATAAATAAATAAATAAATAAATAAATAATTAATTAATTAATTAATTAAATGGACTATTTATAATGAACCGCTTATTTATTTATTCATTTATTTATTTATTTATTTATTTATTTATTTATTTATTTTAGTTTAATTAATTTATTTGTGGTCGCTGGCAGCTGGCGGGCCATTTGGTCTTCGCGCTGTGGGCTGGCATTCCCTCTCCAGAAATAAGTCCCGCATTTAGTGGTGAGTTATAAACAAATTATTTATTTATTTATTTATTTATTTATTTATTTATTTATTTATTTATTTATTTATTTAATTTTAATTTATTTAAATCAATTACACTTAAAGTCCTCAAACTGCTTTTATTAAGTCAATTCTTTGCCGCCCCCGCGGCTCCGCAGGTCCCGCAGGGCTTATTTTCGACACCGGTAGGCCCCAAACCCCAAACCCTAAACCCTAAACCCTAAACCCTAAACCCTAAACCCTCGTGTGAATGCGAAACCCCTCAAGGCGCCTTTGGGAGCATGTTTTACTTCTTGCGCGTCCTTTATTATTTGATGCTCTTCTTCTTGGGACTTCTTTTTTATTTTTCTCTTCCGCCTTACATGAAAGAGGCGGAGCCGGTGACTACAGAGGAAAGAATGCGCGCCAGGTGCGTGCAAACCCTCGAGGGTTTAGGGTTTAGGGTTTAGGGTTTAGGGTTTGCGCGCAGGAGCTGCGGGAACTACTTCATGGCCTTTGCCTTTGCCTGGGGAGTCGCCGGCGCTGTCTCTCAGGTCAGCTCTGCGCATTCAACAAGTTAACTTTATTTTGAGTCAAATTGAATTAAATTGAATTAAATTAAATTTATTTAAATTAAATTAATTTAAATTAATAAAATATCTTTAATTAAATCAAAGAAGAAGGCCAAAAGTTCCGTTTATTTCTTGCAAATTCAATCACTCTTTTTTCAGACCATTTTCCTGTTCGGCGCCAGCTCCAGCCCGCTGGGTGAGCGAAGTTGCAAATCAAACAAACAGCTCTTAAGCGAAATAAAAACAAAAAGAATTAAATTAAATTAAATTAAATTAAATTAAATTAAATTAAATTAAATTAAATATTTATAAAAAGAGTTCAACTTGGAACAAATCGCCTGCAGATCCGCTTTCTTTCTTCTACATCCCCTGTCAGCTGCAGGGCAACAAATGGGAAACTTTTGTGTCGCTTGCGGGTGGGCTCTTCGGGCCTTTTTGGAATTAAATGAATTAAATTGAAAAGAATTGAAATATTAATTCAAAACAAATAAAAAAGTTTAATTTCAATTCATTTAGTCTGGGCACTTCTCACTTTCGTCTTCGGGCGGATGCGCGAGCAGCAGGAAACTGGTGAGCGTCTGGGTGTACGTACACCTCGCGCGAACGACAACTTCCCTTCTTTTATTTCACTTTTGAATTCGTCAAAACTTTTTCGAAGAATTTCGCAAATTTAAATTCGACTTTTCGCAGACATCCGCCTGGAAGGCCACATGCTGCCTGCGGGCGCGCTGGAGCAGTGGAAGTTCGTGGGCTCGGAGGCTTGAGGGTTTGTTCTTTTGACTCCTTTTCACTGAAACTTCGTTTTTAAAACACTTTTAAAACATTTTAAAGCATTTTAAAACACTTTTAGATTCAAATAAATCAAATTTGCTGCAAATTCGCTGCAAATTTGCGCAGACACAGCCCGAGCAGCAGCAGCCTGAGCAGCGCCGGCGGGTCACAGCGGCTCCCCCAGGGGCAGCAAAAGCTGCTTCCAAATGAGTTAATCTTTTCCTTAATTTAAATGCAGCAGAAAAAAGAAATTTCGAGCATTTTCCCCACACAATCGGGAGAAATGCAGCAGCAGCAGCAGCAGCAGCAGCAGCAGCAGCAGCAGCAGCAGCAGCAGCAGCAGCAGCAGGGGCGACCCGCGTGGCGTGTCTGAAGCTCGAAAGAGGGTTTGAAGCCCCCGAGGTGTCTTTGGAGTTTGGCAGCTTTTGCTTCTTCAATTAACTGCAGCAGAAAAACAAATAACAGAAAAAGGATTCGAGACTTTGCTGCAGGGGCTGCTGCTTCCACTGGACCACAGCAGCAGCAGCTGCTGCTGCAGCAGCTGCTGCTGCTGCTGCTGCCGCTTCCGCTAGTCTTCGCTTGAGACAGAGAAGCAGCAGCAGCAGCAGCAGCAGCAGCAAGCGACTCTTTCTTTGCTTCTCGAAACCCTAAGTGAACTGCAGGGTTCAGGTCTAGCGGAGTGTCTTTGGCTGCTGCCCAAACCCTAAACCCTAAACCCTAGCGCGTAAACCATCAATTCTATCTCCCCACGATGCCTGTTCGGGTCAATCTCGGTTTTTAGAACAGCTCTAGGGTTTAGGGCTTAGGGTTTAGGGTTTAGGGTTTAGGGTTTAGGGTTTAGGGTTTGGGAGGACTGCAGCAGCAGCAGCGGCTCGCGCCAAGAGGCGGCGCCGACAGCAGACGCGCAAACCCTAAACCCTTTTGATTTCAAAGTTGTTTATCTTTGCTTCTTCTAAACCCCAAGCAGCAGCACATGGTAATAACACTGCAGCAGCAGCAGCAGCAGCAGCTGGTGGGGCTGCTGCTGTTGCTGGTGTGACTGCTGCAGCAGCAACAGCCGCAGCAGGCCTTGAAGCAGCAGCAGCATGGGCAGCAGCCACTGCCTCAGCAGGTGCAGCAGCAGGTGCAGCAGCAGGTGCAGCAGCAGGTGCAGCAGCAGGTGCAGCAGCAGGTAGCTCAGCAGGTAAAACAGCAGGTGCAGCAGCAGGTTTGGACAAAGCAGCAGCAGCAGCAGCAGCAGCAGCAGCAAGGGCAGCAGGGGCGGGAGCAGCTGCAGCAGCAGCAACAGCAGCGGCAAAGCAACCGGAAGCAACGGTCCCAGGAGTACGACAGCAGCAGCAGCAGCAACAGCAGCAGCAGCAGCAGCAGCAACTCCAGCAGCAACAGCAGCAGCCACAGCGGCAGCAGCAGCAGCAACAGCAGCAGCAGCAGGTCAAATTGCAGCACGAGTTATGCCTCTCTTTCTTCTTGAGGCCACGAGGTGTCTGTACACCTGAAAATGAGAGCCCCGCCGAATTTCGGTCTTCCTTTTTTCCACTTTTCCCGCCGCCGCCCAAAGAGCAGCAGCAGCTGCTGCAGCAGCAGCAGCTGCTGCTGCTGCAGCAGCAGCAGCAGCAGCAGCAGCAGCAGCAGCAGCAGGCGCAGGGGCGCGAGGGCGCTGGCGGCGGCGGTGGCCGTGGGCGCGCTGCTGCAGCTGCTGCAGCAGGGCCCTGCTGCAGCAGCAAACAAGCAGCAGCAAGAAAGTCTTTTGCTGCGGAAGAAAACCCTCCACTCAGACCCTCCTTTGGCGGGAGAGGTTTTGCTGTCGTGTCCAGTAGGGTTTGAGATGATGGAGGGGGAGTGCGTCAAAGTCCACGTCGTCAAACCCCAGGTCAAACCCTAAACCCTAAACCCTAAACCCTAAACCCTAAACCCTAAACCCTGCGCGCTGGGCCCTGGGGCCAGACGCGGGTCAGGAGCGCGCTGTAGGCCCCAGGCTGCGCCCACGCCCTGCGCGCTGTGTCGTTAACTCCGCAGCTCGTCTGCAAACCCTAAACCCTAAACCCTAAACCCTAAACCCTAAACCCTAAACCCTAAACCCTAGGGGCTGAGGGTTTGAGCTGCGGGGCTTCAGGTCGTTTGCCCCTACGGCTCTTTTCAAAACCAACAGGGCGCCTGTGTCTTGACAGACTCCGTCTTGCCGGAGAGGGTTTGCCCCTCGGGTACAGCCCCCAAACCCTAAACCCTAAATCCTAAACCCTAAGCCCTAAACCCTAAACCCTAAACCCTAAACCCCAAACCCTAAACGCTAAACCGTACGCCCTAAAGCCGCTGAACTCTCGCAAACCCTAGACCCTCCTCCGCGCCGCCGCGTTGCGCGTGCCCGCTGCGGGGCCGCCTTCTCACCCCAAAACCCTAAACCCTAAACCCTAAACCCTAAACCCTAAACCCTAAACCCTAAACCCTGGGGCGTGGGGGCGCAGGGTTTGAGCCGTACGACAAGGGCTGCTTGCGGCGCACGGCGATCCAGCCAGTGCCTCTGTGTCCCCCCGACTTCTACCCAGTGTTTGGCGAAGGTGCAGCAGCAGCAGCAGCAGCAGCAGCAGCAGCATGTCGAAAAGATGTTGCAGAAAACCCTCTTTGGACCTGCAGCAGCGGCACTCCAACGCAGCCTGGAGTCTGCGAACTGAAGGAGCAGCAGCAGCCAGTCTTCCTCTGTCCCGACGGATTCGCCCTTCAAGACGTCCGCAGCCCTTTGCTGCTGCTGCTGCTGCTGCTGCTGCTGCTGCTGCTGCTGCTGCTGCTGCTGTGCTGCTGCTGTGCTGCTGCGGTGGCTGCTGCTGCGGCGGCGGTGCGGCGCGTTCTGGCTGCTGCTGCAGCGGGGCGTGGTCACGTGCTGCTGCTGCTGCTGCTGCTGCTGCTGCTGGTTTCAGCCCTTTGCTGCTGCTGCTGCTGCTGCAGCAGCTAAGTGGCCTTGCTGAAGAACTGAAGAGGCGCAGCAAACGGCGGAAGCTGCTGCTGCGCCTTTTGCTTCTTCTGCTGCAGGGCTCTTGCGTGCGGTGGTCTCGGAGCGCAGCAACTCTGTCTTGCCCGCCGGGCTTCGTGTTCCTGCCTGCTGCTGCTGCTGCTGCTCCTGCTGCTGCTGCTGCTGCTGCTGCTGCTCCGTTGTGCGTGCTGGAGACGGAAACTGCAGGCAGCCTCTCCTGCGCGCCGCCCTTCCAGCTGCAGCACGGAGTCTGCGTGCTGCGGCAGCAGCAGCAGCCGCAGCCGCAGTGCCGTGTGGGGTTTAAGTACGACAGCAGCAGGAAGCTCTGCAGCAAGCTGCTGCTGCAGCAGGCGCTGCCCGTCTGCCCCGAGGGCTGGCAGTATGACGCAGCAGCAGCAAAGTGTCTCCAAGAAAAAAGCCCCACTTTCGTTTGTCCCCCCAGCAGCAACCACCACCTGACTCCAGCAGCAGCAGCAACTCTTGCTGCAGACGGCTGCGCAGCAGAAGTCACTGAGCAGCCTTTCTTTGCATGCGCCGAGGACCAAAACACCATTGCTGCTGCTGCTGCTGCGCCTCCCCCCGCTGCTGCTGCTGCTGCTGCTGCTGCTGCTGCTGCTCCAGACGGCAAAGACGGGGGCCTCCTCCTCCTCCCGCAGCACGAGAAAGGGCTGCACGAACCAGCAGCAGCAGCAGCAGCAGCAGCAGCAGCAGCAGCAGCAGCAGGGAAGGACGTCCAGCTGGAGGAGCTGCTGCTGCCGGACCCAGTCGCCGTCCACACAAAGGACGACAAAGCAGCAGCAGCAGC